TTCTTTTTACAGTCATCTAAAACAATTACTACATCAGTATTTAAGGAATATCGTCGTTTATATATTAATACCACGACGGTTTGGATTGTTTAGTTAGAGTCGTTTATTTTATTTGATGTACAAACTATCTTATATTTCTTTCTTTATTTCTTTTAATAGGATCTCTCAAAGCTAGACTTGCCACCTCCTTTGTTAGCCCTATGCCAATTTGTCCAGACTACTTTGAAGCCTTATAACGAGATTGTGCGAGTTAACATTCCAGGGGAAGTGTTTGGGTATGAGCATGATACCTTCATCTTGTGTGAAGATATTTTGCAGGTTGCATCCATGGTTGAGATCGGATCCATAGTGATTACAGTACACATGAGGTAATTCTAGAAATCCAATTTTTTTTTTTACAATTCCCTTTCTTTTAAAGTAAAATCTCATTTAATTGAATTCCATATATTTAGGTACCTATTTGACTATTTAAAAATGGCAAATATGGTAAACCTTGTTGGCCTTGTCGACCCTGGACAAGTTAGCTCTCAATCTGGATCGTTATCTTACAGATCGAAACATCTGTCAGATCACTTGGAAAAGGTAGATGGGGACCAATTTTTCTTGGTGCCTTATAATCCAGGGTTAGTCCCCTTAACTATTTAACCTCTTTTCTTTGTAATATTTTTCTTGGAACCTAACTATTTAATTAACCTATATGGATGCTGGGGTCATTGGGTGTTGATTATTGTGAGACTAGCTAAGGAGTCGGTCTATTATATGGATTCATTGCCAAACCATTCGGTTGACGAGGACATGAGAAATATAGTGAATACATAAGTTGATTTACTCCATTCTAAGATTTTTTATCTCTGCATTTGGATTATACGACGGTTTTTTCTAATACCGATGTTAGAATGCATACACAACGACGGTAATTTCTTATTGTCGTTTGAAAATGTTTACTACGTCAGTATTTTATAGAAACCGTCGTCTTAATAAAAAAAACCACGTCGTATAGATAAATGTTTAGAGTCGTTTAATTTTTTCTGTTCAGCTTTAACTTTTGGATATACGATGGTTTTCCTCATTACAGACGTTAGAATTCTTACACAACGACGGTAGTTTCTTACTGTCGTTTGAAATAAAGTACTACGTCAGTTTTTTAAATAAACCGTCGTCTTCATTGATTTACCACGACGGCAAACTTTGCTAAAATATTTGTCATTAACACTTTTTATTTTCTTGAGACAATGCAATCAAAATGTATAACTCTCACGTAGGCAAACAATCATCGCTTAAGTCAGCCATATAGAAAAATCTACACGGCACTCCTCGACAACCAACAAATGTAGAGTGTGGCTACTACGTGATGCATTTCATGAGTGATAATTCATGATCCAAACATAGCATTTGAGAAGAAGGTAAAAAATTAATTTTAAAATTAATTTTTTTTTTAACAACTACGACTTTTTTGAAAAACCGTCGTTTGTATTATTATAAAACGACAGTTTTATTAATAACCGTCGTTTTTATCTTTTATTTTGTAGTTTGACAAGAAAAATGAACCAATTCAGTATGTACAAGAACATATTATGAAGTGAGGTTGGAATGGGTAGAATTTGTTAACAAACAAATAGAGAATAATAAGTGATATAATTTTTATTCACAATGTTTAGGGTTTATTAAAAATGTACATTTTTTTGTTGTTGTAATTATTGAACAATCATCAAATAAATTTTATTTGATTTTTCTCTAGGTTATTTATGACTTTATATGATGATATTGATAGTAATTCATAAAAACTAAATTTAAATCCCAAAAACCAATGTCTCATTCCTATTAACACGTCTCATTAGTATAAACCACCACCGTCTTATTATAGATTGAAATAAAACATCGACGGCGACATGAAATTGATAAAACACAACGGTTTAAATATAAAACTGAAGACTACATATACCTTCATCTTGTATGAAAAACTTTTGTACAGATATACCACGACGGTTAATACCAACATTTGGACATCTTACATAACATACAACGGCAGTAAACTTACAAAAGTTGACATTGTAGGCATTAAACAACGTCGTCCACTATGTTAAGAACGACGTTGTAAATCTAAACCACATCGGTTATTCAGATAATATGGACGTTGTAAGTATTAAAGACGTCGGTGACGTCATAACAAGTGAGGTTGTAAATTGTGAACCACGTCGATGCTTAAATTTTCACCGTCTAAATGAACTATGACGTCGGTCGACATTTTTTAATGTCGTTGTAAATAAATGCAACGTCGGTTATATACACGTGTCAGTTCATATTAATATGACTTTTATATTGTATTTAATTCTTCATGTTCATAATAAATTCCAAAAAAATAGATTGACAACTACCATGCACTCATTGAAAGATTATCTTCCCCCTAAAGCTTTTTAAAATGTTATTTTAAAAATATTTTTTTATTGTATTTAATTCCTAATATTTATAATATATTCAAAAAAATTCGGAAAAATAAACTGACAAATACTATGCACTCATTGAGAGAATATCTTCCCCCTAAAGGTTTGAAAATTGTAACTTTAGTTTTCAAAATTACAAGTGATAACAAAAGTAAAAAAAAATTTAGAGACAAAGCACAATAGTCCTTGTACTTTGTTAACATAACCCTAAGGTTTATGTGATCCATTTGTGGCCATAAATTCTGTAAACACGAATTTCCTGCGACAAATGAGACAAGAACATATGTACAAAATAATATTTGTATTAATGAAATTTAGGGTTACAATCTCTGTATTGAGTCCTCTGATTCGATCTCCAAAGTGTTTAAAGAAAATTTGTGTTTGATACAAGGGTCATAGAGACTTGATCTTGATCAAACGGGTAGCACAAGGCTTGTTTGGTGTTTGGATTTTTCTAGGGTGGAGGAACCGGCACGTATTTGTTGTGCTTGGTGGTTCTTCCAAAGTGAGGTGAAGAATGCAGAGAGTTTTCTGTTTCTTCTGAATGCTAGGTTTTTCTCCACAGCTTCTTTCGTCTTAAGGCCTCCTATTTATAGGTTCTTGTAGGATGTTTGACCTAAATAACTTTCCCTATTTAAAACCTTGTTTTGTGGGATTTTGATTTGATTTAAATCAATTCCCATAATCTCGCAATTTAACCAGATTATCTTCAATTGATTGACCTGATTAATATTTGATTTAAATCAAAGTCAATCACAGAAGATTCTTTCCCTTAATTTTGTCTTCATCTTGAACCATTTGATGTACTCCGTCGGATGTCGCCACGTGTCACTTTTTGACAACTAATCCGATTTTGATGAGTTACACGCCACATGGGCGAATTATGGGGCCCACAATTTAATCCACCGAACCCTAATTATTTTCTCGTCCAATGGAATTTATTGCACCAAAATTTCTTTGTCTACAAATTCAAATATATGAAATCCTGATTTTAGCCTACTAATATAGAAGGCATTTTCAGTTCATTTTTCTCATACTTGTGTATTTTTATATTTATAATTATTGTAAAATTTAGGGTTTAGGCTTTGGGGTTAGGGTTTAGGGTATTTGAAATGATGTCGGTTTCCTGTTGGCTGTTTTTGGAATTACGCACGTTCGAATCCCAGGAAACCCAAAGCCCATCTAATTATTTTATATTTAAGACGTCGGTTTTTCAAGAAACGATGTGAAACTAATTTACTACGACGTTTTCTTTAAAGTACCGACGTAGTAATAGTTTACAACTTCGTTATGTTTAGTAAACCATCTAAACCATTGTTGTACTCAAACTTTAAACGTCGTAAGTTATGTATTTTCCGTCGTCTTTTAAAAACGCGGTCCTTTGAAATTTTTTGACCGCGAGCTAAAATTTTCAGAATTCCCCTTAACCCTAAAAAATTTCATTCTCTCTCTTCAACATAAATTTGTCTTAAAGTTTTCTCTCTCTCTCTCTCAAAGCATTGGACTGTTTCTTTGAGCTCTCTCTCAAGCATTGGTTATATTCTCTGAGCTCTCTCTAATATCCATGTAAGTACAAACCCTAATATATCTTTATTTAATGATATATCTTAAATCCATAAATGATTTCGTTGGTATTGTAAGCTATGAGTTCTTAATATATGTTTTGGGAGCTATGGATTCTTAATTGGGAGCTGTATATGGGTTCTAAATATATGTTTTAGGAGCCATGGGTTCCTAATATATGTTTTGGGAGCTATGGGTTCTCAATATATGTTTTGGTGTTGGCATGCTTGTCATAATAACTCTCTGTTATGGGTTCTTATATGTTTGTTTGGCCATGGGTTCTTGGAAAAGGATTGGAAATGGGAGATTTAGGCTGTGGTTTTTGTAACCCACGATGATGGTTGATGGACCAAATTGTCGTCTAAATTTTCATTATACGTCAGTTGTTCATTTGTTCTCTTCGTTTGAAATTTTGTTCGTATTTGGTAGCCTAAAGACAACTATTTCTACACTAATTGTTGTCTTTAAGCTACCATAACCAGAACATGTTCACCAAAAGCAATACATAGACTAAAGACGATGGTATCTACATTAACCGTCGTCTTTATTCTACATGAACCCAGAACGATTTTTTTCAAGAAGCAATACAAATTTCTGGGTTTGGGTTTGGGTAACCTAAAGATGACAGTATTTCGGGATGCTGTCGTCTGAATTGCTATTAAACAACGATTATTTTGTAAATACTGTCATCTTATTTTTTTTTAAAATTTTTTTTTTGCGTTTGTATTTTCAATTTATTCTTTGCTATGTGAATATAGTAGTGTTTCATTGTTGGTCTTTTCACTTTATTATATATATGATTTTATAGTGTGTGGGATGGATAAGTCATGGATGCATGCTGATAGAAGATCGAAGGCATATGAGTGAGGGGTGGAAGGATTTTTTAATTTGCTGTAGAAAATCTTGGAAATACAACTCATATTCATTGTCCATGTGTTAAATGTGGGAATATTCGATTGTCTGGGGTTGGAATTATAAGGGACCACCTATACTTTAATGGAATTAACCAAAGCTATAAGATTTGGACATGGCACGGAGAACCTTGGGAATGGACTACTAATGCAAGTCGAAATGTGGAAGAAGATGAGCAAAGTAGGTTCAATTTTGTTTATGAAGAATTAGGGATGGATGATAATGATTTAGGCGATATTGGATATGATCCTTACGAGTTTGCCAATGTGATTGGGATGGAGATTAACCCTTGTACCCTGGTTGCAGCAAGTACACGAAGTTGTTGGCTTTGGTCAAGTTATATAATTTGAAAGCAAAACATGGGATGAGTGATGTTTGTTTTACAGAATTATTGATACTTCAAGGAGATTTGCTTCCAGGAGGAAATACACTACCTTCCTCTATGTACGAGGCAAAAAAGACTTTGTCTGCTTTAGGGACGAGTTATGAGAAAATCCACGCATGTCCCAATGATTGCATCTTGTATAGGAAGGATTATGAAGAATCAACTAATTGTCCTACTTGTGATATCTTAAGGTGGAAGCAAGCAAAGATTCAATCTTGAAAGAGGGTGTGCCAGCGAAGATGGTGTGGTATTTTATGCCATTCCAAGTTTTAAAAGGATGTTTCAATCACGTAAGACAGTTAAGAGTTTGACTTGGCATGCTGCTAGAAAATCAGTTGAAGGTCATATGCCTCATCTAGGCGGATTCCTCGTCTTGGAAACTTGTTGATGATAAATGGCCTGAGTCTGGCCGAGTAACTTGAGATTGGCTTTCTCATCTGATGGATTCAATCCCCACAGTTTTTTAAGTAGCAGGTACAGTTGTTGACCAGTTATCTTAATTATATATAATCTCACACCTTGGCTATGCATGAAACGGAAGTTCAGGATGTTGACTTTATTGATTTTCGGTCCCAATGATATAGACGTCTACTTAGAGCCTTTGATTGATGATTTAAAATCTCTGTGGGATGGGATTAGAGGAGTGTATGATGCACACATAGGAGAATACTTTACACTTAGAGGTGTATTACTGTGGACAATTAATGACTTTCCTACCTATGAGAACTTATCTGGTTGTGTTGTTAAAGGATATAAAGCTTGTCCAATATGCAGCGATGATACACCTAGTCACAGGTTGAAAAATGGCCACAAAATTTGTTACATCAGGCATAGAAAATGGTTACCAATCAATCATCCATATCGGAGGCAACGTGCAGCTTTTAATGGGAAACCTGAATTTGGCTCTTCTAAACCATAGTCAAATGCTACTAGCATGCCTCTTTGAGCCACACCAATAATCAATAACAAAAATAACAAATCAGGTTCAATCCCCAACAAATTGCCTAAAATTAGCAAAGAACATCACATTAAATGGAAGGTTTCTCAGTCTCGTGATTATAGTATTCATTTGAGGAACCTGAGTGTACAAAGCATTGGACCAAAGTTTAACATATCCCACACATAATAATTGGCTGAGACTTGGATAAGCGAGATAACTCTATTTATAGCCTTGCTATGATCTTGATTCTCATTTGAGTTACTAGGGAACAACCTAAAAATTTGCGCAGTCCTTTTTCAGCTCCCGAGATATTGGCTACGTGAGGCCATGTGAAGATGTCATCCTTTAGCTAGAAGATTGGATGTGAATCAAGGCCATGAGCCGAGCTTCCTAATTGGAGATATGGCCAAAGATCGGAGTGAATTTGGATTTGATTGCTGGGAGGACCTGGGAGTTGGGTCGACCCTGTCTCTTGGGCTGAGCTGTCCTGTTGGGGCGATTTTGTCGATTAGGCCAAAATGGCTCGTTTGGTCAAGTCTAGTTGTTAGGGCGAGCATACCAATAGACCGAAACTGGATGATCTCAACCACTGATGAAGTGCTGATTGCTAGGCCGAGTAACGGTCGTGGAGCTATTTCAAAATACCCAAGGTCCATGACACCTGGGCCATCATTGAGACCAAGATTACAGCCTTGGACACCAGGTATGCCATTAGCCTTAATTGGTCCTAGGGCCGAAAATTCTAGGTGTAAACAAGAATCCTCCATACATGTGCTGCTGAAAATAAGTATAACGCGCACAGACATCCTTGTCAAGGGCTCTACGGTACAACCCATTAAGGGTGCACGGGTCCCGACACACCTCTGAAGAGTTACTGCGTGTCAAATGTATCCAAGTATCCCTTGTATCCAAGGGGAGGTACATGTAATGGTGCAATTCGTAATTCCAATTTCCAAAAATACGTTTCCAAATAACATAAATATATATAAAATAAAATATTACCTGTTCAATTTCAATTTCATATACTTAGGAAATATAACAACTTCCGAAATTCCCATAAGACAACAATAATAAAATCTAATACAATATATTTAAAATTACAAGGCCATATAAACCATACCTAGATCAAAATAATAAACGGACTTAATTAACAAACGTACCCAACAACGAACTTTGACTCAAACCTCTAGTTCTGAGTCACAAAATGTGCACAACCTTTAAGAAGGTTTCTAGGCTCATTCTAACACTTCCCTCAAGGATGAGACAGTGTCGGAAGACTCATTGTCAACCGAGCGGTCAAACTTTCCATGTTGGTAAACCAAGCTCGAGAGGCCCACGACCTCCGATTTCCGATTCGAAAGTTCATATAGGTCCAACAAAGTCTACTAAACAAGTCCCCAAATGTTGGGTCTTGATCGAGCGGTCAGATCTAAGTCAATAGCGCGATCGATTCGTCTAACCCTAAAATCATTGACTCGGAGTATCTAGGACTCTGATTTTGGATCTGCAAGTTCTTACATGATCCTAGAGATACAGGGAACAACATATTTGAAAAGGATGAAGAACCATACCTCACTCAAAGAAAACAGTGGTAGGATTGGCCGAAACGGCGTCGAAAGCTTTGAAAATTGCCGACACTTCCAGTCCTTCAAGTAGAAATTCCTTTGGTTTTTTAGTTGGGAAAAGGTGTGGGTTAGATAGAGGACATCGACACCAAACTTTTGGGACCAGTCTGACCAAAAACGGTCGCTAGAGGGTGATGAAATTGTTGGTCAAAGTCCGGCGTCACGCAGAGAGAGAGAGAGAGAGAAATCACAGGTGAAGAGAGAAAAATAAGAGAGAGGGTTGTGCCGTTTCTTTTTAAAATCTAACTTTGTAAAAATGACGGTTGTGCCACTACACTTCTGTAGATCACAACTTATTCATTGTAAATCGAAATTGAACCTACCATCTATCTACGTACCCGTATCGGCGAGCTACGCAACAGTGCCGCTCATATCCCAAAATCCTTCCCCTAAAAAAAGTGATTAAAGTGCCCCTATCTCCAAGGGCAAAAATGTAATTGCACAATTAAATAATTAAATAACGACAATTTGTTGGGTCGGGGTGTTACATGAATAGTATTATCTGTTGAGCGTGCCTTCACCTTGTGCATGCTAGAAGTTGAGTTGGTTCTTGTGCCTGTTTGTAGGTACTGTAAATTGGGAAATGTTCCATTTATAAGGTAAGACTCTATCAAAATTTCAATAGAAGTTGAAGTCTTTATATGTTTAAATTAGGGCTAAGGGCTTTTTAGTAAAGTGGGTCCATCATTGGTTAGATGCCGGATGAGAAGCAGGGTTCGTCACCGATTTCGAGGTGGAATTAGAGGCGGGTCTCGTAAATTTGTACGTCAAATGTGAAGGAGGAATAGCCTTTTATAGACATCCAATCCCCGAAAATTATAGCTTTGAATATAAAAATACAAATTGAAAATTAAAATATTATAACCCCACAAAAAATATAGAAGCATTTGGTCAACAAAATTAAAATTTAATTCAAAATTGAAAACAATAAAATTTTGAAAACCCTTTTAATACCAACACGTTGAACTCTTTAGAAATTGATTAAATAATGTTGTTCTTTATTACATCATGTTCACAATATGGCTAGATCAAGAGTAGTATAATAATATATTTATGTAAACGAATGGGCATCCCTATTTAGTGTTTTAAGCTCCATTTCTTGGTGTGTCCCCTTCTTGGTTATATGTTGTGCATCAGAAGATTCATTTAAATTTACGACCATCACCTCTGCACTCCCTCCCCTTCTCACAACCTCTGTAATAAGAGTTGGATGGTGGAGGCATGCACCGTGACTCCCTGCAACCACCCGGCTGATCACGGGGTATGGCCCCATTACTAATATCTTTTGCATTCGTCGTTTCACTACAAATAGAGCACACCAAGAGAGCAACAATGCAAAGTGTAAATGTCTTGGACATGGCCATTGATCTTCAAAACAAATTACAAAAGGCTCTAGACTTGGATAATGAGGACTACGAGACGGAGAAACCTTTCATTTAATGTGATGTTCTTTGCTACTTTTAGGAAATTTTGCTGGGGATTGAACCTGATTTGTAATTTTTTGTTATTGATTATTGGTGTGGCTCAAAGAGACACGCTAGTAGAGCATTGGTTCTTTGGTAACTAGAATGAAAAGGTTCTACCAAGTTGCTTGCTGATCTACCTAAGAAAAATTCTTACACCGATCAGAAAAGTTAAATAAAAATATTTGATTTAGTAATTGGTCAAATGACTGGATATGAACACTACAAACGTATACACATGGACTTAACCAAGTTGGCTAAAGCGGATGTGCTCCCCACTTTGCACTTGAGTTTGAATCTCCCTACTCGTAGTTTATATTAAATTGAAGCAGATTATCGCTTATATAAAAACAAAAAACACACGACAGACCACCGCTAACTATACATGGCATGGTTTCGGATGGTTTTCCATGTCTACCAAATGAAGGTAGTTAATGAATGAAGTTTTCAACATTCAATCTGCTTCTTTTCAGCACAATTGCATATATTCCATTTTCACATTTCGTCTACTTTCTCTAATGAAGTCATCTAAACATAACACAATATTAATTATCTGAAATATCTAAACAGTAATGCCTCTTGATGTTTTTATTATTATTAACCCATGAGGGCTGGGGGTGGTTTCGGTTTTGGGATATTTTCCAAGGGAAGAGAAGTACCACTAGACCAAGTGCTAGTTGGGGTTGCCTCTTGCTTATTAAATAGAGAGCATTTTTGCTCACCACTTTATCCCAATGTGTACCCTCACCAGCCTTCTCAATATTTGACACTTGTCCATGAACATAACTATTGTTCCATAAATACAAAGCTAAACCTAGAGGAATATTATGTTATTAGAAATTAGTTTTCATTTTCGTAAAACTAAATGTAAAAATATTTACACTGTAGATAATGTAATTCATGTAACAACTTTATAAAATGCGTCAAAACATCACTCATCTTGCATTTTTGGATGCCAAAGTATCAATTGCTTTACATAATCAATTTTTTCTAACATGTCTTTTTCAATACAAAAGATAAACATAGTCTTGTATGTTTTTACCTTCTTGTTCTTCCTCGTAGATCACTTCCTCTTGCAGATGATATTCAATAATAAAACTGCTTGTTTTTATTTATTTATTTAAACTTTTGTTGAGTAGAGCAGATTTTCCAATTTAAGGTATATGCTACTAGGTTAACTTATTAAACTGTTTAACTTAAAAAAAAAAAAAAAAAAAAAAAAAAAAAAAATTTGGTCATTCTTAATTACCATTTAAATTTTACCTTTTAGAGTTTAAATAATTGGGCTTTTTAAAATATAGTACTTGGTCTTAATATAATATATAATATAGTATAATTTTTCATGTAACATACATATGTATATACTGAGGTTTGTAAAAATTGGTGACCCTTCCAATTTAGAGGCCCTAGGCCATCGCCTTACCTGCCTACTATTAAGGGTGCATATACAAAAGGCCTACAAGACTGATACGATCCCAAATATATATGCTCAAGTTGTGTTATGAGCACATATGTTCAAAGTCGGATGTATGCCTCCAAGACACAGAACCTCTCCAAAAATAATAGTAGAAAATACATAATATATATATGAAAGTAGTAGAAGAGATGTAGAGAAAATCGAATTCTAGTTGTGTGTCAAATGTGAGGGAGGAAAAGCCTTTTACATACATCCAATCCCATTAAACATAAATTATAGTATTGAATATAAAAATACAAGCTGAAAATTAAGATATTATAACCCCACATGTACAATAAATAAAGAGGAATTTAGTAATAAAAAAAAACTTTTAATTCAAGATTGAAAACAATAAAATTTTGAAAAACTTTTTAAAACGAAGTCCCCTTAAGGTTTTCAAAATTTTCAATAACAAAAGTTAGTCTAAATATACATATGGGTAACATAATACTACGCAATAGGTGCAGGTTCCTTCCGGACTTAAACCTTCCCTTAGTGATTATAGTATTCATTTGAGGAACCTGAGTGTACAAAGCATTGGACTCGGCACTTTGACCAAAATTTAACATATCCCACACATAACAATTGGTTGAGACTTGGATAAGCGAGATAACACTATTTATAGCCTTGCTATGATCTTGATTCTCATTTGAGTTACTAGGGAACAACCCAAAAATTTACGTGGTCATAGAGAGATAGGGAAGACATGGAATAATACTCATTTGCTTACAATGTAGCGCTATGAGCTGACAAAGAGACTTCTTCTTTAATCTTACAAAAAAATTCAAAGCAACTGATCTATCCTAAGATGGAAATATCAAGCTCTACCAATTAATATATGCTAAATGTAAATCTCGTGTTTGCTAGTGGGGTATATAGCTCAGGTCATTGAGCTCTTCCACCTCCACCCACGTGGGTAGAGGTTCGAACCCTAGACACCCAAGGAACATTTGCGTAAACCCCTTTTCCCCAATCGCTTGTTGAAAAAAGAAAATAAATAAAAATATCATGTTATAGATGCCACCAAGAGAAAACAGTTCAAACATTTGTATTTGTACTCATATAATATACAATAAAAATAGCAAAATACTGCGTTAGTGGATTTGTTCGAATGTTACATGTTGTCGGGATTACACGAGATTTAGACCTAGCAAAAGGTTGCAGTTTGGTATTTTATCAGTTTCAAAGATTCATAAGAGAACGAGCATGATATATAGCACCAACAACCAAATTTCCGATGCATAGAACATTTCACATGAAGTGTTCATAATCGAGAATGCTAAATTTACCACATTTGTATCGCTGACTACTTTTCTCACAAAAGTGAGACTTACTTGCATAAAATTGGTGCTTTGAAAATCTCACATCTCTTGCTCAAATACATTTATTCTTTTACCTTAAGATGTCTGAGCATGAGCAAGTAAATGTAGTTTAATGTTTGCATATGGTGACCTAAAAAAGAAAACAGAAACTTGATTCAACTATTCAAAAGATTGGCAACACGTTGAACTCTTTACAAATTGATTAAATAATGTTATTCTTTATTACATCATGTTCACAATATGGCAAGAGTAGTATAATAAATATATTTACGTAAAAGAATGGGCATCCCTATTTAGTGTTTTAAGCTCAATTTCTTGGTGTGTACACTTCTTGATTTTATGTTGTGCTTCTGAAGACTCATTTAAATTTACGACCACCACCTCTGCACTCCTTCCCCTTCTCACAACCTCTGTTATAAGAGTTGGATGGTGGAGACATGCACCGTGACTCCCTGCAATCACCTGGCTGATCATGACGTATTGCCCCATTACTGATATCTTTTGCATTTGCCGTTTCACTACTAATCGAGCACACCAAGAGAGCAACAAAGCAAAGTGTAAATGTCTTGGACATGGCCATTTGATCTTCAAAATAAATTACAAATGGCTGTAGACTTTGATAATGAGGACTATGAGAGAGAGAGAGAGAGAGAGAGAGAGAGAGAGAGAGGATTTTGGAGGAGATGATGATTACGAGACTGAGAAACCTTCCATTTAATGTGATGTTGTTTTTCTAATTGTAGGCAATTTTGCTGGGAATTGAATCTTATTTGTTTTTTTTTGTTATTGATTATTGGTGTGGCTCAAAGAGACACGTTGGTAGCATTGGACTTATGGTTTAGAAGAGCCAAATTTAGAAATTCCCTTCAAGTTTTTTGAATTGGTTCTTTGTTAACTAGAATGAAAAGGTTCTACGAAGTTGCTTGCTGATCAACCTAAGAATATAATATTAATATAGTATAATTTTTAATAAGTGATTTGATGATTATATTACATATTAACGGGTTTACCTTGGGTGTTTGTTTTCCAAGAATTTGAGAAAGTATTAATTAAATGGTTTTCCTTATCTTATGACATGATATAAGTATACTGAATTGAATTTGTTTTCAAGTATCAAATGGTATATATGTACGTATACAAAAGGATTTGGTTGCATAGTATTTTGGCATTATTTTCCAAAAATGGGGGTATTATTATATTGAATATAAACTATGTTTGACGCTTTGCTTTTGTCCACTCATATTTTCTGTTTTGCGCCCCCCAGGTCCTAGATATTCAAGGTCAAGACCACCACGTCACGATGCCTCAACGTGGTGGTTTCGACCTTGGATATCTAGGACCTGGGGGAGCGCAAAACAGAAAATGTGAGTGGACAAAACTAAGTGTTAACATAATGTATATTCAACATAATTAACCCCCTCCGTTTTAGAAAATAATATCAAAACACTATGCTATAAAATCTTTTGTATACGTGCATATATAACATTCGATACTTGAAAATAATTCAACTTAATATACTTATATCAAGATATACTATAAGGAAAACTATTTAATTAATTTCCCTCAATTCTTGAAAAACATAAACTTATTCATTTAATCCTTATTGTAAAACTATATATTTCAAAGCACCAAAATAAACCTGTTAATATAAAATATAATCATCAAAACCCAAAATCATTTTTCCTACAACTATACCCTTTCGTAGGCGTATGCTTGCAAAACATAAAAGGCCAAGTAATTTCCAAATATCCAAATATCCAAACTCAAATCCAAATTTCATTTCAATTGTTCATACCTGCGCAGAGTAGTCTCAATGCACGGGCTCAAGAAATCTCAACCTAGAAAGTATCTCCACAAATATACCCGTATACATATACATATATACACACCCAAACTCAACACATCATCAACATGTATCGGGGGAAACAATCTAGCTGGGGGATTGTTTGACTAGACCGCAGGATACCAAAATTTAACCTTGTGACTAGGGATGAGTTATCTAACCGGTGGACTACCGCTCCATAGCATACACGCAAGAATCCTACCTCGCCATGCGGCCAAATTAAGTCCTACGCGCTCAGACTGCCCTTTGTAGGCCTATAGCACACCCCGCTAAGGGTATTGAGATCTTAACCCACATGCCAGCATCCTACCTCAACATGTGAGTCCACACGCCAGAATCCTACCTCGGGGTGTGGTAAAGTAACCATATCAAATTAGGGATGGTACATATCATGGCGTGTAACCGATAGTCAAAATCTGAGATCCGCTTTCATAAACCAATATATGTAATAACATATACTTAATAATAATAATAACAATAATAACAATACTGATCTCGAGAAATCCCATATCATAGTGCTCAACTCTGATAGGGCTCTTCCTCTGGAGTACGTGAAGTATGGGTACCTAGATCGAGAGAGTAAGTGAATTTAACTAATGAACGTACCCAACTACGAACTTTAACTCAAAACTCCAGTTCCCGAGTCTTGAAGTGTGCACAACCTTTAAAAAGATTTTTTATAGGGTTATTCTAGTACTTCCTGAAGGATGAGAAGATATTGGAAGACTCATGGTCAACCGAATGGTCGAACTTTCCATAATGGTCAACCGGGCTCGTGGGGCTCACGACCTCCGATTTCCAAACCGAAAGTTCTTATAGGGCCACCAAAGTCTACTAAACAAGTCCTAAAGGTTTGGTCTCGATCGAGCGGTTAGATCACTCTCGATTACACGATCGGATGGCGATTGGTTCAACTAACCCTATAATAGTTGATTCGAAGTATCTAGACTCCGATTCTCTATCATAAGTTTCCACACTATCCTAGAGGGTTGGGAGTGACATAATTGAAATTGAAACTGATCGAATGGTCCGAACCTATAGAACCCAGATATTGCATATGATAGGACCCGCCCTGGATTACCCCCTCAGAACCCGTGACGAACCCTGCTTCTTGTCCGGCATCAGGCAGATAGACTAGCTTGATAATAAAATCCCATAAACTCATTAACCCAAAATAACCAATTTTCCAATCAAATCACATTTATGCAAGTAATTCCATGTTTGAAAAACAATGTTCATTTAAGAACATATGTCCACTCACAACAAGTCCAAAGCTAGTTCAACGGTGGGCGAGTTCATCTTGAGCAATACATTGCGCCTAGGTACCTATTTGAGAGAATAAATGGACTTAATTAATAAACGTACCCAACAACAAACTTTAACTCAAAACTCTAGTTTCTAGGTGTCAAAGTGTGCCCAACCCTTAAAAGGTTTATAGGGCCATTCTAGCACTTCTCGAAGGATGAGACGGTCTCGGAAGACTCATGGTCAACTGAATGGTCAAACATTCCATTGGTCAATTCGGCCCGCGGGGCCCACGATCTTTGATTCCTGATTCAAAATTTCCTATAGGTCCAACAAAGTCTACTGATCAAGTTCTGAATGTTTGGTCTCAATCAAGCGTCGGATATAAGCCAATCACACGATCGAACGGCGATCGTTTCGCCTACTTAGAATCATTGTTTCAGAGTATCTTGCTCTCCGATTCTCGATCCGCAAGTTCCTACATGATCCTAGAGGTACATGGAATAACATACTTGAAATTGGAACTAAACGAACAGTCTGAACTTATCGAACCCTAATATCGCATAATAGGAACAATATCCGTTCGATAGTCAAATGATAACCAAATTCAAATTCGAGCATACCATCGTGCTCAGGATGACGAAGGAATAATTCTAGGTTGAAAAAAAGTTGCCTAAACAGGGTTTACGAGCTGTCACCCACTGTCGGTAGCGCCTGGGTGTCTTGAGAAATTTTCGGCGACGACTATACCAACATATCAAGCAGAACTCGGGGAGCATTTTTGGTTCTTGGACCACAGCCAAAAACTAAACGGAATTAGATGGAACGAAACCGAAACAATCGGCATAATTAGGGGCTAGAAATCGAAGTATAAAACCTCAAAATTAACCTAAATCAAGCACATAAACAGGTTGAGCATGATGAGTCATACCTAGTTTGATGAGTTTCGCTTCCGAAATCTCCAGAAATCACACGAACACCTTCAGCGATGAAACAAAGGTATCTCTCGGTTCCAGTCCAAAATCGTGACAATCTTGGAGTTTCAAAGGTGGAAATGGGTATGGATGTGTAGAGGAGAAAGAGAGAAATGTTTTGTGGGTCGTGGGTGGACGGAGGAGAAAATGTAGGCCAAACAAGCCAGTCTGTTTTGAGAAGAAGGAGAGGGGGGCATGAGTGAGGGGGAGAGAGAGAGAAATTACATAATAAGGAATCTGATTTGTTACTTAAATTGGAACTTTGCGATATGGTTGTGCCACTGCACTTCCATATATCAGAACTTCTTCGTTTTAAATCGGAATTGAGGGTGCCACATGTCTACTTACTAGTATTCACTAGCTTTACACAACAGTGCTACTCAATTCCCTAAATTCCTTTCCAAACAAAAATGACTAAAGTGCCCCTACTCCCAAGGGTAAAAATGTAATTGCACAATTAAATAATTAGTTGGAAACAATTTTTTGGGTCAAGGTGTTACAACATAATAGGCGCAATATTCGTTCGATAGTCAAACGATAACCAAATTCAAATCCAAGCATAATGTCGTGCTCAGGACAACATGAGAAATATGGTGCGTTGGTAGAGGATGAAGAGACAATTCTTTTGGTACCAACCACGGTGACGAAATTGCCCATCAAACTGACTACGTCGCTCGGAGAGAGGGAGAGAGAGAGAGAGAGAGAGAGAGAGAGAGAGAGAGAGAGAGAGAGAGAGAGGAGAGAGAGAGAGGGATGCCTGATTTTTAGAAGTGGACTTAGCAAAAAAAATCCGTAGATCATAATTTCTTCGTTATAACTCTGAATTGAACCGGCCGCCCATCTATGAACTCGTATCAGCGAGCTCTACACAAAGTAATACTCCGCAAGTTCTTGGATAACATTGTAAACTCAAGCATTTAATCCTTATTATAAAACCGTATAATCGAAACTTTCAAAGTAGTCCCATTAATATAAAATATAATCATCGAAACCCAAATCCTTTTTCTCACAACCATGCCCTTCCCAAAACACAATATGCCAAGTAATTTCCAAATATCCATTGCCCTTCCAAAAATATCCTTTTTCATTTCAAATGTTCATACTTGTGTAGAGTACTCTCAATGCATATGCTCAAGAAACCTCAACCTAGAAATCAATCCACACATAAATCCACATATATATATATATGTATAATCCATGCAAAAAATTTCAATGATCCAAACCATCTATTTTTTAAGTCTACATTCATGGACCATCCATGCAAAAAATTAGACAAATCGGAAACCATTTGGATATCCAATTTTGTCCTACAAAATCAATGAACATGGTGCTTTAAGAAAGTACTGAAATTTCAATAATTCAATAGAGTGGTCAATGATATCGGATTCAAGTGATTTTTTGTAGAGATGATTTTTGAATGAGTATCTACAAAATATACAGTTTGGATTAGTGAAATACAATAAGGAGTGGGCCCTACAAGAGTGTCCCTCAAATAAGCTTATTTGAGGGATCCCTCAACTGAAGCTCCTTATATATATATATATATAATCACTACACCATCAACAAGTACGAGGGAAACAATCCAGCACGGGGATTGTTTGACTAGACCACATGCAGAATCCTCAATACACATGTGGCTAGGAACGAGTAGTGCAATCAGGAGACTATTGCTCCCTAAACACGCAAGGCAGAATTGTTGGTTTGCGCAAATCTATTGGCCTGGTGCTCTAGGGCGAGGGGATTATGCTCCAACACAGGTCGTCCTACTTTGTGTTGGATGGGTGTGCACGGCTGTGCCAGCACGGTCTACCGTGTAATACCCCTGACCTAATTTAATTGTTTTTATTCAATTTATGTAATTGGGAAATTACAATTTTGCCTTTCAGGGTAGGGTCCATTTAGTCACCTTTTGATCCAAAAGAATGTTGGGGAATTGAGTGGCACAATTGCGTTGGGTTTGCCCTCATGTGTTTGTAGATATGTAGTGAGCTCAAATCGTAGTTTAAACAAAGAAGTTGTGGTCAACGGAAGTGTAGTGGCACAACAATTAATTTTTTGAAGTTGGGTTTTAAAACAGATCAGCTCTCTCTTTCTTATTCCTATCCTCCCTACGCGTTCTCTCTCTCTCCTTTATGAAAACAGACCGTATTTTCTTCTCCGTTCGTCAACCAAATCCGACGATTCTTGTTGCAACAGAATCGTCTCTTCCTCCTCTATACGTCCATACTATTTCAACCTTCAGTACTCCAAGATTGACCTCGAATTTGGACTGAAACCGAGCCAAAACCTTTGTTCATCGTCGGGAGTGTTCGTGCAATTTCTAGCGATTCCGGCGGCAAAAATCTTTAGGTGAAGCGATCACCATCCGATCGTGCGACTGTCTTACATCCGACCGCTCAATCGAGACCAAACTTACAGGACGTGTTTAGTAAATCTTGTTGAACTTGTAGGGACTTTCAAATTAGAAATCGGAGGTTGTGTGTCAAAATTTTCAACTATCACAGAGGAGTTGATGAGGGAGTTAGTGATGGCAGGTCTTATAGGAGGACTTCTCCAATCTGTGCAACCAGAGGAAGAAGATCAAAATCTGTTTTTATACGTAGAAAAACTCTCTACCAAAGAAGGTTACATTTCCAAGAGATAAGCAGGATACGATCTCAAGAGATAAGTTGGGGGCAAGGGAGTTGTTCAACAGGAAAAGCAAACTGACCATCATGGCAAATTGTGCCTTTCCTTCTTTGCAAGGAACAAAAAGAGAGCAAAATGAGTTGATTTTCTTTTTTTTTGGGAAAAGTAAGGAAAAGACCACAATGGGAACTAACTGTTGATGGTTCTTCTCTGCCAGAATAGATAACTTCCCATTTTTGTGGCATTTTAAAGAAAGATCTTTTGAAAAGATTTGCCGCCCATTATTCAAAGATTAAAACCCCACTCCAGTATTTCCTATAAAATAATAAAGAGGGTGAACAGATGGAGGACAACCAAAAAATCAATCAAAACAAACTGCCCATTCAGACTGAAGAGGCTCCAATTTTTCCCGTTCAAAAAGCCTTCCAGGGCTCGAAATTGATTAAAGCTCTGCCAAACTCGAACGTTGGTATCGATTTACAGCAGAAACTTAATAGTTGAGGGTGTTGATGATCCAATCCAGAACAGACATACCTAGTCCAGTTCGCATCAAAAACAGCTATCCAGGCAGAAATTGAAGTCCAATGCTCTTTTTGTTTTTTCAGAGTTGATCTTTCCTTTTCTGAGCTTTGTAAAAGGCAGTTTTGCCTAAAACAGTTCACTTTCTTATCATTTATTATGGCCAAAACTACCAGTTTTTGTACTGTGAAAAATTGTGAAGTCCTCACCAGTCTGAGGCAAGAAAATAGCTTACTTGGGAGATGTTCCTCACCCAAATTCACAATCGTTTGTTTAGAAATCAATAACTTGGGCCGCAAGTTATCTATTTTTAAGAAGTCTGCTACGATTTTCATTGCTAGTAGTGGCATGCTCATAAATAAAAGAAAGTTGACTTGTTGACCAAAAATGGTCTTCAAGCCAATGTGGAACTGAACCCTTCCATCACAAGATTAAATCAAAATGGGTGAACATTATAATGTGGACTAAACATTAAGTTTTTTTTTCCAAGAATTTGAGAAGTATTAATTAAATGGATTTCTTTATCGTATATTTTGTTATAAGTATATTAAATTGGATTATTTTCAAGTATCAGTTCTTATATATGTACGCATAGAAGGATTTGTTGCTTGGAATTATATCTAAGGGTTATTTACGTTGTTTATAAATTATGTTAAACACTTTGTTTTCGTGTACTCCCCTTTTCTATTTTGCCCCAAAGTCCTAGATTCCGAGGTCGAAACCACCATTTTGAGGGATCATCATTGTCTGCTCCATAGGAATGTTCTTCTTTCACTCTCGACCTTTATTCTTTACTGGGTTGTAAACTTAAATCTTTAGTTTCTGTTCACCCGTTTTGTTTTTGCTCCTGTGATGGAAGGGTAAGATTCCCCACTGCCTTGGAAACCATTGACTGGTCAACAAGTAAGCTTTCTTTGGTGTGTGAGCGTTCCACTGCTAGCCTTGAAAATCCTAGCAAACTTCTTTAAAATGGATAACTTGCGCCCCAAGTTACTGATTTCTTAAACAAACGATTGTGAATTTGGGTGAGGAATATCTCCCAAGTAAGTTCTTTTCCTGCCTCAGACTGGTGAGGACTTCACAATTTATCTTAGTACAAGATTGGTAGTTCTAGCCAGAATAAATGATAATAAAATGGACTGTTTCAAGCTGAACTGCCTTTTACAAAACTAGAGAGGGAAAAATCAACTCTAGAAAGACAAAAAGGTGGCTGAAATTCCATTTCTGCCTGGCTAGAAGCTTCTGATCCGGGCTGGACTGAACTGTCAGCAGCTTCAACTGCTAAGCTTCAGTTGTAAGTCGATACCAAAGTTTGATTTTGGCAGAGCTTCAATCTATTTCGAGCCCTGGAAGGCTTTTTGAACGGGCAGAATTGCAACTTCTTCAGTCTGAAGGGGCAGAAGTGGCTGGTTTTGAGGACTCAGTGAGCTGGAACTGAACTGTAAAATTTGTTGAGGTTTTCATATTTGTTAAAACTCAAGCTTTGCTTGTTCTTGGCTTTTGTTGAACCAAATTTGTAACGAGAGGAATCTCGTTTTGAATGACTTATTTTTCTAAGTTTGAACTTTGGGAATTCTGATATAAAGCTGGTTTCTCTTGTGGTTCAAGTGAGCTTTTGGTTGGTTTTTTTGTTTTTTTTGTTTAACTGATCAATTCAGTGTGTGGTGCCTTGTTCACTCCCTCTTGCATTTATAAGGAATGCCTTGGAGTAGGTTTTCTTTCTTAAATATTGGGCAGCAAATCCTTCGAAAGATCTTTCATTTTTAAATACAAAGAAGAAAGGGTTTTAATTAATTTTGGCAAACAAGCTCTCAATAGTCATTTCTTAAGATCACTTCCCTGTTTTTCCTGAAAGATAACCTAACCCCTCTTTAATTCCAACTGCCTTTTGTGAGAACTGAAACCGTGATGGTTAGGTTGATTTCTTCAGTTTGAACAACTCCCTGTTTTTCTTGCTTATCTCTCAAATACAGTATGCTTATCTCTCGAAAATAGTGCCTTCCTTTAGAGCCGATTTTTTCTTAAATATAAAATAGGATTTTGATCTTTTAGCCTTTTAGAGTTGCAAAGAAAAATTTGCTAATGACCTGCGTCCATTTAATTCCCCAATTACTTCCTCTATGACAGTTGCAATTGTTTACTTTTTCCAAGCCAGTAAGTCACATGGGTTTATCTTTAGCTTTGGGCCTCCCTTTTCTTCAATCATGCCAGGTTCAGGTGTGGGTTTCGAAGTTATGGGCTGACTTCCCCTTTATTGAAGCCCAATTTCGTTATCGTTGGTTTTTACAAATCGTGGACTAGGCCTGTTGGATTTTGGGCTCTGCTTTCTGTTTATTTTTGCAAAGCCTAGTCTACTTGTGTCCTGTGGCTGTATTCTGGGCTTTTTCCGTGTTGGGCTGGGTGTGCGTGCTAATTTAGGCCCAAACAGTTTCTATGTATGCTCTTTGAGTTTGGGTAGAGGGCATGAGTCCGATTTCATTAATCTTAACTATTGTGTGCAAGGATGGACCCACAATGGGGTCAATGGGGTCAAACTATCCTATGGACTCCATGAAAACAAGCTAGAAGGTCCCCTTTACTTGATTGTGTGGCCCCATGAATGGCTGAAGGAGAGGGTTGCTAGTGTGAGGAAGAAGAAGCTGACTAGTGCACTTCTTTTTTTTTACAAAAACATGCTGGTCAAAACGATGCTTTTTTTAGATGACGTAGCCAAAACGATGTTCTTTTGGTCCAGGTCTTAAAAAAAATTCGAAAAGTTTCAAAACCCCTCCACCCGACCCTTCAACATCTCCAAAACCCCCATTCCCCCCTCAACCCCCCCCCAACCCCCCCACCCCCCCCCCCCCCCCCCACCCCCCCTCCTAACCCCCACTCCTGCTCCCGCTTGTTGTTTTTCCTCTTTTTGGAGAGAATTATTACAATAGTATGGTATTACCACGTGGCACTTGCCAATGGTAGTACGCACTTATAATATGGCGACACTTGGAAAATAACAAAAAATAAAAAAAAAAAAGCAGAACTAACGTCCGTTTAATATTGGTCTGGACACTTCTACGGTCCGTCTTTTTTGCCTCAAATACCGCATAGCTTTCGTCCGTCTTTGGATCTCTCGAGAAGCCATGGCTATGGAGTTTTTCGTTCAACTCACTGGGATCTCTCGAAAAGGCATTAACGCTCATAATTTCTTTCAACACCAAAAAAATCATCAAAATTGATTTTAGATTTTTAATTATACACCCATAAATTCGCAACCCATATTGTTTGAGCCTACCCATTTAACAAACACCAACCCAAGCAATTGCAAAAGACGATGGACTCAAGAACAAATTCGGAGCAAAGATCCTAAAATTAACCCCCGTTTGCCTGGAAATAAAAAGAAATTCAATGTTTTCCTTTACTAACACCCAAGAACAAACTGGGGGAAGAGAATAATTTCTTAAAATTTTATGAAAAAAAAAAGAGAAGAAATTAAGAAGGTTTATGAAAATCTGATGGCACCAGCACCAACATAGCCTCTCCTCAAGGAGTCAAATGAATCTTGCAGAGATGGAAGTCTTTGGTGATGGATAAAGATGGGGAAGTTTCATTTCATGGACGGTGACGTTAACGTTGATATAAAACAAAACGTTAATTATCTTTGTTGGAGCTGTTGTCCATATGTCGTCGTCTT